AGGGTTTAGGGCTTAGGGCATCTGGGCAGTTGGGGGTTTTGACCGGCTTAGGTTCGGGGGGCTTTAGCCTTTCATGAGGGCTGCAGCTGTTGCTACGTTCTGTTGCAGACGCTGGGGTTTATGGCCCAAGATCTACGGCGTGGAGCTTCTTGGCAACGAGTCATAGAAGGCCGTCCCGCAAACACATACGAACCTGAGGAAAGGAAGGGCGCAAAGACTGCAAGAGCTCGGGCTTCCAAAGGTTCCACCCAAAGCGGAGAATCGAGCAACCATAGGTCGAGAAGAGGAATGTCCCAAACCTGCCCAGCCTTGTTCCTGAGCCCTGGGCAAGGTTTTCAGTGTTTTCCCCGAACTCCACACCCTAAACATGCGTCTCTCCCCAAAGCCTACACACTGGCAGGTTTGGAACTGTCAGTCGTAAACTTGGCTGGAGTCGCAGTTTGGGTAGTCGCCCCGAACCCGAAATTCCCTTCTGGCCCTATATAAATCCCCTTAACTCCCAAAGCCCGAAACCCCGAACCTCCAAACCTTAGACCGAACTCCCTAAAAACCCGAATTCGGGGTCCTCTCTGACTTCAGGCCCGCACCATCCCCGCAGCGTAAGGTCCGTACCTGGATGTAGGCTGTAGGGTCCTTTAAGAGTTCCTTTAAAGGNNCCTGAAAGGATCCCTTAAAGGATCCCTTGAAGGATCTTTTAGGGGTGTCTGTGGGGCGTGTTTTCTGGGGGTCTTGGATTGGGGGGGGCTTCCGAGTTTGGGGTTCGGGGTTTCGGGGAGGTCAGGGATGTAGGGTTCGGGGGATTTCGGGGGTTGGGTGTGGGTGATATGGTTTAATGTAGGGGCCTAAACGACTGTCAATACTATAATATACCCCAAATTCTCTTATTTTTGAGGCTTCTACATTAGGGATGTGTTGGAAAGGATTTGGGGTCTTGTGGAGGTTGCCTTTGAGCGTCTCGGCCGGAGCTCGTCAAACCGCGAGGGCCCAGATCCGAAAGCTTAGCGAGATATCGCTTAATAAGGGGCACCTTATTATGGGTCCTTATAATAAGGATCCCACTAGTTAGGGTACTATATGAGGGTCCCCTAGTTGGGTGCCTTCTTTGGGCTTCGGGCTTGGGCGCGGCTCCGTGAATGTCAGGCTTCTTCAAGGCCCCTTAGGGGCTTAGAGGCACGAATTATCTCGAAACTTCGGCCTTCGGTTTTAAGGGTCCCAAGAATGCAGGACTTTCGGGATCGAAAGTGGAAGGGCCCAGAGTCTAGCCGGACCCCTACTGTAAGTACCCTCCACTTTGCTGGTTTACCGTCGCATTTCGTGTGGCGTACGTCCTGCAGCCACGCTACTTGAGGCTTTGGGGTCTAGGCGAGTCTGGAACTTAAACCCTAAACACTCAACCCCAAAATCCCTAGACCCTGAACACACGAGACCGATAGAACCATTGGATACGTGGATTCGGGCATGCTAACATGATCGTACACCACGACCACAACCACTTAGGCACTGAGGGCGACTACTGTTACCACCACCAGAAAATACATGCATGATAGAGACACAGGAGGCAAGAATCATAATATTAATAGTAATCATAATAATCATCATAATATTACTTGTAATAAAAATAATAATGGGGTTTTTGGTCTCAGAAGGCCTCTACCCCCATGGCTCCAGCGGCCCGGCTGTCGTCTTGGTCCGCTACTCCGACAGGGCTCTTGCATTGGGGCACATGGCCCCTGGGTGCTAGGGTTTAGGGTTTAGCGTCTAGGGTTTAGGGTTTAGGGTTCAGGGTTTGGCCTCAAGGTTCAGGGTTTCGGGCTGGGGCTTGGGCTTCAGGTTGAGGGTTCTGTCCCGGAACTGAAGCGCAGGTGTGCTTCTCGGGCTCTCTTCGAGTTATGCTTGTAGGAAGGTAACTTTGAGCGAGAGTTACTGGACGGGTTACTTTGGGGCGTCACATGGCTTTTAACGCTTCGGGGCTTCAGGGCTTGTAAGGCGCGGGATGTTTGTGGCTTGCGATGGTCAAGCTCTCATTCCCTTTTGACTGCGCCAAAGCCTACAGTCTACAGCATGAAGCCCGCAGTTGAGGGCAACTCTCAAATTTCATGCTTCGAGCCCAGATGATTGAGTTCTTCAAGTGCCTGCCCGCCCGAAGCCCGACAAAGAAGTGAGTCAAGAAATCGTACCTGCACCGATTGCCAATCGTTGTGGGCCGGCAAACTGGAAGCCCCTTCTAATGTCCGGCTATAGGGTTGCAATCCTTATCGTTGAGGGTATCAAAAACGGTCCCACACTGTAGAACTTGCTGCGGCCGCCACAATCAAGCCTGACCTCCCGACAAGGCGTCTGGCTTTCTTCTTGACTCCTATACCTGTTGGATTTAAGGATTTGGACGGCTTTGGGGTTTAGGGGGCTTGAGTCGCGTCGGGCGTAGAGCTGTTGGGTTTAGGTTGGCTTCAATAATTCGAGGCTTTGGGGCTTTGCGGTCGTAGAGCCCAGCAGAGAGACTTCCACACCATGATCAGGCACCCGGAGACTCCAAGATCCCTTAGTTAAGGAATATACCTTAAATTATAGTAGGATCCCTAATAAGATTTAAGGTATGTTCCTCAATTGAGGGATATTGGAGTCTCTAGGCAAAAGCTCATTCAGCGCCGGATGCTTCGTCGCTTGCTGCGGGGTCGCCTTTGGACCGAGTGCGAGGATGCAGCCTTTTTGACCCATCTGCTTTGGGCTACGCACTTTGGCGCTTGGGGCTTACTTAGGGTTTCGTCTAGGCGTGAGGGTTTCGAGCTTCAGGTATTCATGCGTTCCAAGCCCTGTGAGCCCTACAAGGCCCTACAAACCCTAAAACCCTTAGGCTCCAGGCTCTTCTTCTTGGGGTTTCCCTGCTCATTTCCAGGCCGGTCCGCTGCGGCTGCCTCGGGCCGGCCTCTCCTGGAAAAGAAGCTCTTTTAGGGCACCAAAAGACCACCTAAACACAAGGATGTCGCAACAAAGGGCATTTTGGAATCCCACTTGGGCGCCCCTTTAACAATATCCCCAAACGAGGATCCTTGTGCGTAGGGCTTACAGGTTTCGGGGGTCTCTATCTTAGGGCTGAGGGTTCGGTCTTCGAGCTTTGAGAAAATTCCTCTCAGGCTGTACATTGAGGATTGAACGGATTTGAGCTTGAATAGAGTTGAAACTGACGGGGTGTCAGACGAATATTTTGGACTTAAGAGGTTGTGCAGCATCTACAGCTTCCCTTTTTGAACCTAAATAACGTTTACCAAAATCCAAAATGTCTGTCGTGAAGAAGACTGAAGATTCCTCTGAAGCATGGGCTCATGTAAATGAATGTTTGGCCTTGAGGGTGCAGTGAATCTTCTGTTGTTGAGTTTTCGACAGGGTATCAGGAGTTTTGGCTGAAGCTCCTTGGACTACAGTTGGGCCTGTAGACTTTTCCTCTAAGGATGCAAGCAAAGAGGCTGCCAGAGGTCTTTCTTTCAAGCTTCCGACCCTTCCGGGTCTCGGAATAGGCTCCTTGGTTTGAGGTTTAGGAGTTAAGGCTTGTCGTGGGTGCTGCACGGCTTCTAGGGTTTGGAGTGGAAGGTCTTGGGTCTCGGAACGTAGGCCATCTTCTTCGCGGAAGAATCCGCCTTCGCCGCGGGCCGCCGGGATTCAGTAGCTCGCATGTAGCCTGCTGCCAGCAATGAAGCACGGGCTGCTTCTGGTATGTGGCACCATGATGCAAAGTATGCTTTGTCCCGAAGGGCCCCGAGAGACACCCAAGAGATGCCCACATCGGATCTCGAAGCACCGCCTCCCCTTGCGCGCGCGCCAGTTCCGACATAGTGCCTACCCCACTTGAGTCTGAGAGCGCCCTTCGATGCCACAGGCATTGGCCATAACCGATTCACTCATGAATTCCCCGGAAGCTGCGCACCTCTCTGATCACCGCCATGGCCCAAAGTGCTCTGTGCCTGCGATGAACAAGCGAGACGAGAAACCGAGATGAGGTCTCGGCATTTGAGGCTTGGAGCTAGTACTGA